ACGCTTTTATCCAAAGCGACTTTCAACTGAGGACTAAAGACAAGTCAAGTAATTGTGAAGAGGCAAAAACAACGCAAGAAGGATCAAAATTCAAAGTTCAGGCATTGCTCAGAGTAGCATAAGCCAGACAAGGGAGGATTTAAAGGAAAGGGAAATTTTAAAGGAAAAGGAAACTTTTTTTTATGTTAAATGCTCACGGAAGAGATGAGGTTTCAGTTGTCTTTTGAATGTTGTCAGGGATTCTGTTGTTCATTATTCTCTAAAAAATATAAACATGTACATACATGTTGCTCACATTATGGTAGCCCTGTTTGTGCTGAGTATAGTGTAATTACACCTTTGCCATTAATATGCTTATAAGCAACTGAAAAAAGCACAATGTCAGGACATGTCAAAACATCTCAAGGACCCCAAAAACACCTTAGACCCCAGAGGGTTTTAAGACAAGGAATAGATTAAGTTGTTGTTTAAAAACGAACACTTGGTGACAACACCTCCGGGTACTTCAGGCTAATACTGTTTTACATTAGTTTGTCTTTACTTGGCTTCTTCATATTTCCATCAGGATCGTTGGATCAGCACAAATTTTGAATTATACGAATACCAGCTCAAAAATGCATCAGTACTTTAGATGACCTGCAAAAAGCTAATGAACTGAATGACTTCTGTCTGAGATTTGAATCTTGGGACTTCTCCTCTGAAGTTAAAGAATGTTTCAGAGACAATTTCTGTCATAAGATTGCATTTTAAAAACTTATGTACTAAGAAGGCAACGGGGCCACATTGAATATACGCATTCCTGTTAAAGGTGCCCTAGAATTAGGGTTGGGTACCGAAACTCGGTGCCAATAGGGAACCGGTTCCGACGTAAACGGTAGTAACCAGACCGAATAAGAACGAAAATTTCGGTGCCTGATTTCGGTGCCTAACTTCATTAGGCACACACACACACACGCAAGGTCTCTCGCTCTCTCCCTCTCCGCCGTGCCCTTGCGTGTGCTACACAGTATGGAGCACAGTTTATTCTGTCTCGCATGCGCGCCCTTTCTCGCAAGGTTTGGCTGCATTTCACGTGTAAAATTACGTGTCAGAACGCCCTCTGGGTGTGCCGACAGTCTGAATGCCATATAGAATCAAGCCAATTCATTGGCTAATGGCGCGGGCGCCGCATCGACGCACTTACGTCGTCATATTATGTTGACGCGTGCGCGCGCCACCATCTGCTCCTCAGATTTCTCTGCCGAAAAAGGAAGCTGGTCGGCAGCGCGAGGAGCTTGGCAGCGTCCCGTTCCCTATTGAGAGATATGTTTCACCAGTAACCAGAGATGTTCTCTTTCATAGGTTCACTCAACGCTGCGTAGCTAAGAAGCAGTGGATTTGTAGGCTGCTGTATCACGTGCCGTTTGAACTGACGCGCTACAGCGATCTGTCACATTTCAAAGAGCCAAAACGTTATTTATTGTGTGAATCTCGTAAAAATATTGACAGAATCTGACAGCTGTGGATTTGTTCCATATCAAAAGTAACCTTCTCTGTCTTGTCTTGTCACTCTCTCTGCTTTCACCAATGCAAACACGATGATGTAAATACAGTAAGAGCTTCGTTGTGCAGTAAGCGTCATTGATTTCATAACGAGTTTGGCAAGTGTCCAGATCAACTCGCGCTGTGTGGAAAGATTGTTCTCTGATCGCCTTCTGTATATAATTTGTTCACAATTTAAATACGATTATTTTCATCCTACTAAAAGAAACGATGTGAAGCTGATATTTTAGTCACTGGTTTGACTTACTGATGCATAAACAGTAGCTATTGAACGATTTTGAGAGAAAGATTACCTGTCTGAACTTGAACAATTACACATCAGAAAGTGTTGCTTGGTAGCTCGATCCGAGGCCAGCTCTGTATTGGCCCAAGTTGAGGAAACACTCGGTGAAATGTTTGGAAATTTCCAGAGAAAATAAAATTAACCCATTGTTTCTTCAAAGGCTCAGATGAAGGAACTAAAAAATACTTTTGTGTTCATGTGTACATCCACACTGAGCAACTGCCATGCTTCGGCTGCGCAGTTCCGCCTGGCATTGAGGGCTGGCATTATGCAAATATTTGGAGGCGTACATATTAATGATCCCGACTATTGCGTCACAGTCGGTATTGTGTGGAGAACCGACCGTTTTTCAGGGGTGTTTTTCATAAACGTGAATTAAATGAGAACGCGAAAACAGTCCAGTTTGAGATTCACTCTATGTCATGTCCATGCACTGAACTCTTGTTATTTGACTATACCAAGGTAAATTCAATTTTGAATTATAGGTCACCTTTAAATACATGTGAAGACACCTGCATGTTTCCCAATCTTTCAAAAATCAGTAGACTCACACGTCATACCCACCCTGTGGAAGAAATCAGTAATTACACCTGTACCTATAAAACATGCCCAAAAGGGAATAATGATTTCAGGCCTGTGGCACTGACTTCTATTGTTATGAAATGTTTTGAGTGGATAATGGTGTCATTTCTTAAGCAAGATGTTGGTGTGTTTTGAGATCCGTTTCAGTTTGCGTGCAGGCACAGATGATGCTATTAACAGCATTTCACATTTGGTCAGTAAACAACTCGAGGACACCAAGGCCTACGTATTTCGTTTTTTGATTTTAGTTTGGCTTTTAATACTGTGTAGCCTCACATGCTCATCTAGAAACTGAAACATATGAATGTTTGCTCTTTTATTCTCAACTGTTTTTTTTTTTATTTTATTTTTTTAAACAAACCGTACTCAACAGGTTAGAGTGAATAATGCTCTTAGGGAGCCTATCAGCACTGGTGTCCCTCAGGGCTGTGTTAGCTCTCCAGCACTTTTTACATTGTATAACGACTGCACTAGACTCCATACTGATAATCATATTATTAGATTCTCTGATGATACAGCAATCCTCGGCCTTATGCATAAAGATAGAAGTCCAGCAGCGTATCATACGGAAATTGAGGAATTTGTGCAGTGATGTGACAACAACTATCTTGTGCTAAACGTGACCAAGACTGAGGAGATGGTGTTTGACCCAAAAGCCATAGGAGATACCAGGCCTGTAGTGATTAACAATTTACTCAGGTTAGCTCTTACAAGTACCTTGGTGTACATATTGATAATGCACTGACATGGAAGGACCACGTAAATACTGTCTGTTCCAGACTCCAACAGAGGATGCATTTTTTACAAAGACTTAGATTGTATGGAGTGGAACAAACATGTATGTTGTTGTTCTATCGTGGAATATTAGAGAGTATTTTAAAATACGGTATTACAGCCTGGTATGGTAACCTGACAGTACAGTCAAAATCGCAGGTAAAGACAGCTATGAAGATTATGGGGGTCAAAAACAATCTGCCCCCCCAGAAAATTTATGAGCAGTCGGTTATCAGACAGGCACAAAAAATAGTTTCCAATCCGACCAACATACTTCACCCAGAATTCCATCTTTTACCCTCTGGCAGAAGATTCAGAGTTCCTAAATACAGGCTAAACCGTGCAAAATAAAATGTTTAATGGCAAACTCAATGGCATGTTTCCTTGTTAACCTGGTGATAAAATATGTGGGCCTATATATTGGTTCTTTAGGCCTATCTTATAGTTATTAAAGTTTCCTATTTTATATTAGGCCTAAATAAGTGTAAACCGGTTAACATGACTATGTGTGATTGTGACATCAGGTATTAAAAATCTGTTTATTTATTTATCAACCTCCGCATTGTATGCTTTTTATTATCTATGTACAGGATAAAGACAGTTTCAAATATTAACACTTACATTATTATTATAAAAATCACTGCTGTAAATCTATGCAATAACGTGGTCTTAAAAATTAATTAAAAATACCCAGCAGAGAAGTGACATGAACATTTATTGCTTATTTATGTGTGAGGAGAACTGTCATTATCCAGGATGCTGGTGGGTCAATGATCTCAAATGGTTCAGTGTGATGAAAGATAATCACTGTACAGTGTGCACAAAGAAATGCCACTACAGCAAACATGTCAAAGAAGCAAAAATATATGAAACAAAGACAAGAAAGGAGAAGAGGACATATGAAGAGTTAAAGAAGAATGATGATGGGAAGCTTGGAGATGGTGTGTCTGTGGTCAAGAAGCTGGAAGAAGAACTGCAAGAATTAGAGAGAGAGAAAATAAAGCTGGTGAATGAAGCAGTGGCGTAGGTTTGATTTTGAAATTGGTGGGGACGGGGACATCAATTTATAAATATATTTTAAGTTTTGATCGAAATTATTGCTAGGGATATATCATTGTCACTGGATATTGGTAGGGACACGTCCCTAGCGTCCCTACTAAATTCTACGCCCCTGGAATGAAGCTTTTCACAGTGTGGAAACTCAGCAGATGATCGCACTCAACACTGATATTCTGTTCTGTATTTTGATTTTCTGATTGAAAAGATGAAGGAAATAAATTAGCCTGAAAAAGCTGAAATACTGGAAAACATCAAGAAGAGAGCAGGAGAAGAAAAACATGGAGCTCTGGGATACATTACAAGCTTATTTAAAAAATAATTATAAATGACGTCTCATCTTAAATGATGCTGAAATTCTGAAAATGTTTCTGGCTTCGTTCAAAAGTATGTCCTTCATGTGATGTTAATCTTATATTATCATTGATCGTAATTGCAATGTTTTATGAATCAAACCGTTTTCTATCATCGCACTTGCCGGTATTTTCCATTTGTAAGTTGCTGTAAATAAACTGCATCTGCTAAATTAACTAATGTAAAATAGTGATTGAATTCTGTATATTTGTTTATACAGTAAGATACTATTGAAAATACATAAGTGATACTATAAAAGCAACAAATAGCCAGAACATTGTTATTCATCATAAAATGATGTGCATGTAATAATCATTGTCACTAAGAGGCTGTTTTAACTGTTTTAACTGTATTATAAAGCACTGTCATCTAGAGGCCATATGAGAAACTGTTGAATATCATCCAACAGGTGAAAAACATGATATACATTTCTAAACTCTGCTTTACTATTAATGTGGATGTGCTGTTCATTCTCTGACATTTTTGGGCCTTGTATTTTTTGCTTCATTAAACCCAAGCAAAGTGGCAAAAAATTTAGGCGTTGTCTTTGACTCTGATTTTAATTTTAAAGCGCATGTATGTAATGTTACTAAAATAGCATTTTATCATTTAAAGAACATTGCTAAAATAAGACCATTTCTCTCTCTGTGCAATACAGAAAAATGAATGCATACATTTCTAACTAGCAGGCTTGACTATTGTAATGCCCTCCTCTCTGGTCTACCAAAGACTACAATTAATCAACTACAATTGATACAAAACTCTGCTGCTCGAGTATTGACAAAGACCAAGAAGAGAGAACACATTACACCTATACTAAAATCATTACATTGGTTACCTGTTCATTTTCGAGTTGATTTAAAAAAAACCTTTTATTAGTTTATAAGGCACTGCATGGACTTGCTCCAGACTATCTTTTAAAAATGCTTACAGTTTATGAACCTGTAAGGACTCACAGATTATCGGATTCTTTACTTTTAACAGTACCACACCGTGGAAGTAAACGATTTGGTGATGCTGCTTTTAGCCGCTATACGCTCCTCGTCTCTGGAATAACCTTCCAAAAGAAGTAAGACGTGCCGAAAATATAAATAGTTTTAAGTTTAAATTAAAAAAATATCTCTTCAGTCTGGCCTTCCTATAATATTTTACAATGTTTGTAATTTAATGGTATTTCATGATTTCCATTACACGAGAGTAGATGTTAAAACTTCATGCTGATTTGTACTCTGCTTTCGCCAAGATAAGCAAAACTATAGCTTTACAGTAAACTATGCTTCTCCATCCATTTACGCTTCTTTCCATATGGTGGTGTGACTCCCCTTCTGTCCGGCGTTAACGGCTGCAGTGTACTTGGCGCGTCAGCACACACGACGGCTGCAACTACAGTGTGGTCTCCCTAGTGGACCAGCACGACAACCGTCTGGATTGAGCCGAGTAGGGGACATCTCTAGGGTCTTCAAGTGGGCACCTTCCGTCCTCAGTGTTTCGTCGACTAGCCCACGACACCTCAAGAGGGCTCGACACTGACTCTGGCGTCCCAGAGTCACCCCCCTCCGTCCCCCACTCAACTCAGCCCAGCTTACTGACCTCTACATCCCTCCTGCTGCTGAGACCTAACCACAATCTCACAATCTCTCCGCAACCCAACCATACGCGCCAACCTGTTTGACTAAGGCTGTCGAGCCCCACTGGTGCGTTAATGCAGTTTCAGTGGCAACGGTTCCGTATGGCATACCACCTACCGCAAAACACAATATCTGCCCAACCACCCGTCATTCACGCAATATACACAGGAACGTAATGACTGTAAATACTATGCAACCTATACAAATAAACCAACAGACTCTTCAAGTTTTTCAAGAATTCTACGAAACCGTAGCGTGGCGGCCTGTACACAGCCAGCTAGAATCTTTCCGTCTCAACCACAGCCAGTTGCTGCTCCTCTCTGCTGCTTCAGATAAGTTCTTTACTGTGCGATGCAACTCTTGGCCACTGAATCCGATGTCTCTGAGGAACCGGGTTGTAGAGTGTGCCACAAAACCTCGACAACCCACTTCCACTGGATAAACTGGACTCTCCATCCACTGGACTCTCCATCCTCGCTGTTCTGCTTCAGCGGCCAGATGAGCATACCGCAGTTTCTTCCTCTCATATGCCTCATCTACCGCATCCTCCCATGGCACTGTTAACTCTATCAGTTGAACAATGCGTGCTGATCCAGACCACAAAACAATATCTGGTCGTAGGTTAGTGGTGGCAATCTCAGGTGGAAAAATAAGCCGTTGATCAAGATCAGCCAGCATTTTCCAGTCCCTAGCAGCTTCCAGTTGTCCTGGGCGAGAATTGGTTTTAACACCTTTTCTTGGTGGTTGCTCGCCTGGGCGGAGGAATATTGTCTTCTGCGTGTAATGTCTTGCTAGAACAGGCGGCAACTTATTGGTCATGTTACGCTTGTCTTCCAGTGCTAAAGCCAAACATCGCAGTACTTGGTCATGGCGCCAAGTAAACCGACCTTGGCTAAGAGCCACCTTACATCCTGTCAAAATGTGCCTTAATGTGGCAGGTGATGAACACAAAGGACAAGAGGGATCCTCTCCTACCCAGAGGTTTAGGTTCTGCGGTGATGGGAGAACATCATATGTTGACCTAATAAGGAAACTGATCCTACTCTCTTCCATTGACCAAAGGTCTTGCCAGCCCATCTTGCGTTGTTCCACACTCTCCCATCTCATCCACTCTCCCTGCTTGGCCTGGGAAATGGCCTTTATACACCTCATCCTCTCCTCCTGCTTTCGCACCTCGTTGACTACCAGCTTCCTCCTTTGAGCTGGGCCTGGCTTGTGCCATTTAGGAGGAGCTAAACTGAGCCCAAAACCCCCTCTTCCATGCTGTACCTGTCCCACTATATCCCCAATTTGAAGGGCAGCCTTTGCCTCTTCCACAGATTTCTTTGCTGACCACTTTCTACCAGTTTTTAACACAGGTGCTTCCTCCCTTACACATTTGTCGCGTGACTCTACTAAGGTAATTTCCAGTCTGACCTTGGCGCACTTAAGCCTGGCTCACACTACAGGAGTTTTAGGCCGATTTATGCCCGATTTTCCCCTCCCAAAAATCGGAGAAAAAATCTTGTCGAGGACCTTGATCGGTTCCGATGTTCGGCACAGATTATCTGGTAATGTGAGGCATTCACTGAGCAAGACACTTAACCCCTAGTTGCTCCAGAGGTGTGCGACCTCTGACATGTATAGTAATTGTAAGTCGCTTTGGATAAAAGCGTCAGCTAAAATGAATAAATTAACAAAAAAAAAATTTTTTTGTTTGCCTGGTAGAGCACAGCTGTTTATGCTCTTCAACCCTTCCACTGCTTGTCGTCTAACTTCTCCCACTCGAACTGTGTCCTTTAGATCCCCATCGTACCATCTCCCAAGACTCTTCACTGGCTTCTCAGAAACTGTTGGTATTGCCTCACCATTAATGAAGAATGTTTTATCTACTACCTTTCCTTTAACTATCGAGATGCTCCTTGATTTAGAGGGCTTAAATTGCATTCGTGCCCATTCGATATTATCTGTTAACTTCCCCAATAACCGATTAGTGCAGGCTACTGTTGTAGTCATGGTTGTCATGTCATCCATGTATGCTCTGATTGGTGGTAGTCGCATCCCAGAAGCCAAGCGCTCTCCTCCTACTACCCATCTTGATGCCCTAATGATTACTTCCATTGCCATGGTAAAAGCCAGTGGAGAAATGGTGCATCCTGCCATTATTCCAACCTCTAGGCATTGCCATGCAGTGCTGAATTTTGGAGTTGAGAAACTGAATTGCAAATCTCCAAAATAGGCTTTCACTAAATTTGTTATTGACATTGGTACTCTGAAAAAAAAAAAAAAAAAAAAATCAATTCAGTTTTTCCAAGTTACAGAGTTGAAAAAACCCAGGAATGAGTCAGTTTCTCAAAAGTTTATTATTATGTTAATCTCCACGTTATTTTAAAGATTTTGATCAAATGAATATTGTAGTTTGACTTTGTGTGAAATGCCAGTCTCTGCTGCCCTCTTCTGGTCAGTGAAATCTTTTTTCATATTCCAAAATTGAGAGGAACATAACGACTGATGATCAATCACCATTTCTGTTTTGTTTGTCTATCTTTCCGTCAATATAAGTATACATCTGTATCAAATATATATAACACATGAAACGGCATAGGCCTGCACAAAATAACAAACAAACAATGTAACAGAAACAGGCATGAATTAAAAAGATTCAGAGATGTGGAGATCTGGCAATGAAGTGGAAACAAGATTCTCAGTCAGTTCTAATAGTTTCAAGGAAACATGTTCACTAATTTCCTCCACTTCTGCAGTTTTCTTTCTCTAGTTGCTTTCCACTTTTTTCAAAATCAACTGACAATTTTGTATTGTTTTGTAAAAAAATAAATAAAGTGTCATGAAGACTGCTGCGTGAGGAAACTTCAGGAGACGTAAAGCAGGTTAACAGTCTTTAATGAAAAACAAGGCAGAGCCGCAACGGCCGATCAACAGAAATGTCTCAAAATATTCTTGAAGAAACAGAGAAGCGCTCGCAGCAGGTCTCGTGGACTGGAGAAGGGTGAGCAAAGGAGAACTGGAGAAGCGCAGATCCCTCACACCTCTTCTGGACTCAACACAGGTAACCGCTGATCTGGTAAAGTAGCAGGTGGATAACAGACAACTGGACTAGACAGGACTAAACAAATAGCAAGAGTTCAACAGCGGTAACGAACGTGACGGTCAACAATAATCCGACAAACTAGAGTGAAACACAAGAGACTAGAAATAGAGAGTAGCTAATGATAGAGGATAGAGAACAGGTGCGATAAAGAGAAGATGAGAAACAGCTGGGGAAGATAAGTAGTAAATGAAGAGTGAGAGCGAACAAAAGGGAACAGATACAGAGAATGACCAGAAGAGGGAGACAGAGACCAATAAAACACGAGAAAGGAACCAGGATCATGACGGTGCCCCCTCCTCAAAGTGCGCCCCCTGGCGCACTCAAAGAGGAAGACTGACGAGAGCGAAAGAAATCGTTGATGAGCGAGCGGTCCAGGACATCCCGGGCGGGAATCCAGCTTCTCTCCTCAATACCATAACCCTCCCAGTCGACCAAAAACTGATGGCCACGACCACGAGGACGGACATCAAGGATCTTACGGACCCGGTAGACTGGGGAACCCTCGACACGAACCGGAGGGTTAACTGGGCGGGGGGGTGGGCGAACAACAGGCTTGAGAGAAGAGACATGAAACACGGGGTGAACACGGCGGAGATTGGATGGCAATCTGAGCCTCACAGAGACAGGGCTAAGGACCTGAATTATGCGATAGGGCCCAATAAATTTGGGAGCCAGTTTACGAGACGGATACTGGAGAGGAAGATTGGCGGTGGAAAGCCACACTCTTTGACCAATGACATAACGGGGACTCTTGATACGACGTCTGTTAG